CCGAAAACTCTCTAGAATAATTTTATGGCAGCATTAACTTGTTCATTGCTCATGGCATAAGAAAATAAGAGCTGTTACACTTACTGCTAAGATTCTTATGCCTCTTCGCGGTATCTAAAATTTCCAACGTCCTCTCCTACAGTTGCCCAAGTTCCAGATTTACTTTTGGTCAAAGATATCAGAGATATAATGTATAAATATAATGCTTTCTAATGAGTGCAAAACAATGTCCTTTGTCCATTGTAATTTGATTTACATTTAGTTCATTTTGTATTTCAATTATTATTGTAACACAAACTTTAGAAACACTCTCTTCACACATCAGAAAGAATTCAGAATATCATGCAACATGAAATATATAATCTTACATTAAAATTTACACCCAGAAATAAGGAGACTGTCAAGTTCTTCTACGGTAATTGTGGCTTTGGTTTCTCTAAAATACAATTTGGGCTGCATTATTTATATGGACAGAATACTTCATGATAAGCATTAAATCAAGATAATATTCTTACTCAAACCATAAAGATATGCTTTGCCAGTTACTGTATACAATAACAACTTCATTGTTCATTGTATTCTTTAAATGTATCAATGCCAACAAGTGCTTAAATTATGCTGTGAATACACTCTGAATAAATAAACATTAAGGAGTCGCATATCAGCAAATACCAAAATCACCACAAAAAAACTCCACAAGTATAACAGTGGTCTTGAGCTAGCAGAAATTATATTTATAAAATGTTGGCGTTAGCTTCTCAAAGCAAGTTACAGATTATTTCAAGCATATACAGAATCAAACAACCTTTAAGAATGAACTTAAAGCACTGGAAAAAATGAGCTGCATTTAGTAGAGAGGAGTATAGTGACGCAGGACTGGATTTTCCTCCTTGTAACAGTTCAAGGGTGTTGGAAGCTTCCCTCAGAGGTCTGAAACTGATTTTGTACATAGAAACTTGCACTCAATAAGTCAAGGAAATAACATTATATATGCACGGTTAGGACCAAAGACCATAAACTCCTCCAGAGAGTACATCTATCTTCCAAAATAGCAATGCAGTGCTTTTGGTACCAGAGATAGTACATAGCAGAACTCCAGAACTGACCATTACACTATAAACATACACTTCAGAACTCTAACTACAGAGACAATGGGAACATTTTTAAATACAAAACCTCTACAAAGAAAACAGCTAAAACAATAAGCAACTGTCATAACAATTACTCAGAAGATTACATAATATGTTGTCTATTTTATTAAGTTTGTTTTCCACACAATTTGTTTTTCTGTACCTAACAGGTAAAAACCGTTAAACAGTAGTCAGTTTTCTGCAGAGTATTTTCTCAGAATTCATCCGCTAGTGTCATAATAATCATATAAACAGAAAAGTACAACAAATACTTTAAATCTTACAAGCATTTTTTCTCTTTTTTCATTAAAAAAAAACAAAAAATAAAAGGAAAGAGTATTGCAAGATGTAGACTGAGCAGGGAGATCCTACACCTGGGCAGGTACATGGGAATTTGTTTACATTTAATCAACATATAATTTATTTAACTATTAGTGCTGTACTTTGTAAAGCACCACTCCAAACCACAAACAGCTTTATCAACATACTGACAAGAAGGATGGAGAATCTTCATCCCGTATCCTATGTTATTTAATCACACGCCCAAATCCACAACCAAATGAACAAGTTGTACTATTTACCCAGATGTGCTCTAACACAACACTGCATTTTCAACAGAGATTGACAACTGTGGAGTAGGAAAATGACCCCTTTTTCACTAGCATCACAAATAACACGCAGAAAGGGGCCCTCCTTTAAGAGTCTGTTAGAGCTTTAAGTCCTATTTTGCTTTTCTTGTTCTCTTTAGTGTTGCTCTTTTTAAAAAAAATGATCACTTCCCTTAAATAATTCAACTTTAGTGTTTACCTTGATCAGCCACAATAAACTCAGAGTGTTTACACGCATAAAGGGTAGTTCCCCTCTTCCTTTAATCCAATTTTATTAGGCTTCAATACCTGTCACTGCTTCAGATTGTGCAGTAAGACACACACAAAGAAAATTATGATACCCCATCAGAGAACTCATTTTGGTCAACTTTTCACCTACATGTTCTCTGCATATTCATTCCTTCTTCACATTTTGGTAATTATCTCAAAATCCCCAATAATGTCAGAAGCACATCACCCCATTTTTACATCAAGGCGGTTAACACAAGGATGAACAGCAATGCCGTCCTTCCACCACAAAAAATGACACCACACTGATAACGATGGTAGGACTTGTACCTCTGCCATTCTAGAGTATGATGCGAGAAGAAAATTTAGATCAAGAGACTTGGTGCTTTATTTTGTTTGTTCTTTGGTTTATTTTTATAAAAAAGCAAACCACTGATTTATTTAGGAAAACAGCGGTCTAAATGGAACATAGGGATTTTTCTTTTGGTTTCGTTTTTTTTTTATTTTTGAGACAGAACTTTTACAGAGGATCGTAGCACACACATCAGCTCTGTTCTTCTAATCTTCTTTCTTACCTTCTCTTAATAATAAGTGTTATCAGCTAGCAATTTTCCCTAGTGGATTCATCACCTAAGATTCTTTTGTCTGAGCAGGTCCAGCTGCCAACAATACAACACCAAGCTCTTGATTACACATTAGCTTTGTTCCCTTGTTTGCTCCTTAGAAGCTCCGACAATAAAGAACCAGCAGTAGCAGAAATTTCACAAAGATCAAGAACATTACTGTATTACAGTTCTTTGATAAGTTTTAGTGAAGTCTAAATCACTCCAGATCATGCTTGACGGATTTATCTATCCTGTCTTTTTTGCATCTAGACATCAGTTACTACTTAACATCTCGATATCAGCTGAAGAGTACGGAAGGAACGGCAGCCTATTTCGTATAGAAAAACAAAACTGGCACTAAGAGAAGCTAATGGTGAGAAAGCAATGTCATTTCTATAAATCTGTGAGTTTCATAACTCTAATCCTCTAATTAAAATCCTGTGCTACATCTTCATTCTTTTCCTTTTACTCTCCCACCTGTGATGCGCAATGTATATTGCTAAGTGGCTTCAGCCAATTTACCTCTTTAAATTTCTAGAAATTTCTCTTCCATGGTTTGTTAGGAACAGTGCCTTTTGTTTATACTTATGTATAAAATGGAAACACTATCTTGAATAAGCTTGAATATGAATGAATGCTCTTGTCAGCTGCAAGCAGATGCATGTCCATACACATGAAAGGCAGAAATGAATCTTCACAATCCAAGGGCTTCAAAGTCAGGGAATCTTTACCACCTACAATGAATCTAACTTTAAGTTCTGTTCAGCAAAGTGATAGCTGAAAAATGACAGTTACCAATCATTTTCAGAGCACACCTCAGCTGCTGCACTACGACAAACACAAAGTCTCAAACTTTAGAAGTTACCCGAGTAGAGTCAAGCAGATCATGCTCAATCAACAGTGGAAAAAAATAAAGTTATACAATCTTTACCTCTAATACCATGATCTGTTTTGGATTTGAAAAAGCCTTGTGAAGTACAGAGGCACATGCTCAAAGAGAGCTAAGGAGATTTATCCAAACAAACAGAACAGACACGCCCAACCTGCTGACACAGAGCACTATACAAAAGGCACTTCAAAGCACAGTTCACCAAATTATTTTTTGAAGAAAACAATAATTACTTCAATACATAGAACAACTACCACAAAGTAACCAGTTATCGAGGGGCACTGGCTTCATGGTGACTGCCTGCATACCCCACGGCAAGTGCCCATCATTCCAGGTAGCCTACCCTTCAATCTAACTGCCTTGCGTTGCCACATCACCGTTACAGACAGCTAGCTAGACCTTGGACACAAACACACATATTATTTACCAAAAAAAGGACAACAAGATGCAACTAACTTTGTAACATGTGTGTTTGGTGTGAACTGCTTATAAATGAAATAAGGTACTGTAACTTCAGATGCCTCTCAGACGTCTAGCAGACAGAACCCACTGTTCCAGCTTCACTTCTTCCGCTACTCTACAGCTTAACACCCCACATAATCCAGTGTCATAACCTCATTTCTGTGTACCAAAAGCACAGGCAGAAGTAGCACGCACAAGCAAACTCTTCTTCAAGTATTTTTAACCAAGAACTAAAAGCCAGAAAAAAAATGCAGGGACGCGTTCTTCCCCCCACTCTGGAGCCCTACTAAGCAGTAGCTTTGCAACAAGAGAAGCACAAGTATGAGAGCTTCCATCTAATAGAGAGTAGCAAGGTTGTAAGATATGAGTAATGTAGCTAGTGAGAAGTAATGGAATTGTTTCTGATTTGAATTGCTGAATTTACTAGGATACAACATTTGTAAAACATAGTAAGCTCCAACAGTCTTCTCAACCGCAGCATGTAAAACCATTCCATCTCAGAGAGGAAATACGTTGCAGCAAACAGTAACAACTCTGATTTGGGTAGTTGAGTAACTGTATAAAGAAGTAATTTTTACGATGTAAATGTAAAGCATTTTACAAAATTTGTGTTCCATGTCTCAAATGCTGCTAATATACAAATCCGTTAGGGATCTAGAAATTAGCAAGTCATTCTAAAGGACAGAACGTTGAGTTTTACAGTAAGTTACTCAACAGGATAATTTGCTAATTATATTGCCAAATACAGCCTGTCTAGAGTACACTTCAAAACAAAAGAAAAGCTTTCAAATTTGTGATTTCACTATATCACTTAAAACATCTGGTGAAAAGTCACCTATCATCTATGCAAGTTAAAACATGCAGGCTTTTTATTTATTTTTGTTAAATCTAGAAGCTATTTTGAAAATTAAAAAAAAAATCCTCTGGTTTTTGAAACTACCTTTGAATTTTCTGTATTTACCTTTGAATTTACATGCATAATTCGAGTTCACTTCATTACTGAAATAAAAAAAAAAAAAATACAAGTCTACCAGGATTGAAAGTATTTATTGCAAAGGTTAAAAACACTTGTTCCTACCTCCACTTTTGTTCGGTAGAGAATGAGACGCTTTAGGCTGCCCACTTTGGCTATGTGGTTGAAAGCCTGAGGTGGTATTTTATCACATGACGAGAGATTTAATTCCTGAAGATTTGGACACATTTCAGTAATGACCTCCAAACATGTTTCATTGAGGAAATGGCCACACGACAACTCAAGACGTACTAGTTCAGAGCCACAAACTTTCAAGAACCTGTAAAAACATATTTTAAGTGAAAAATAAAGTACTTTTACACGTGAATCTGAACACTGTGAGAACCTTAAGCATGCAAACCAGGAAACAGTTCCTTTCAAAGCCTACAGACCACAGCTCTTATGTCACCTCAGTTAACTAAGGGAAAATGTGAACAGGTTATCGTAAATTAATCATAACCAATCTGAAGCAGTTATTTCTGAATCAAATCTGTACAAATCCAGAAGAGACCAAACTAATTAGGTGTTGAGTTAGAGAGCAATATTCAAAACTCAATGGTAGTCCGAGAGTCAAGACTGTTTCAACATTAACTTCACACTGTACACAACCTAGATATTATACAATGTTTTGTACAAAGGAATATTTGACTACATGCATTTGAAGAAGCACGGAAGGCTAAATATGCTATACATGGCATAAGGAGGCTAACGTCACTAGAGCAGGCTTAAAAAGCAATTCTACCTTGAAAACGAATTGCAAAAGAATCATTGGGGGCAAGAACAGTACAGACAGTACAGCTTTTTATTAAATTAACATTAGTCTTGAAAGCTCTTTTTTGGTTTAGAAAGTTGGAGCATGCTTCCTTCTTGCCATTTACTCTGAAACAATGGAGCAAAGTACAACACAGATAACATCTGAAATGCTTTTAAACAGTCCCCAAAGCCAATTCTGACAATAGCGTGCAAGCTTCCACCACTAATTACGTATTTCTTTTTATCTCAGAAAAATCTGCAAATGTAAAAATGAGGTTAAACAAATACTTTTAAATGGATTCAGGAGAAGGATTTGAAGACTTTTAGAAAAACATCTCATCCCTTTCATTAACAAGTCAGTCAAAATCAACACTTTGTAGCTGTTCCAGAACACAGAGATTCCGAAGGACTATTTCACATGACTTTCACTGCAATTACAAAAATCTAAGGTATTAGAAAACAAAATATCCAAAATTTAGAAACTTCGATGGTCTCTGCATGAATTACACTTTCTGTCAGAGATCGTGTGTCAGAAATTCAAGCTCCATTATATCTAATCCAAACTTTATAATTAAAAACATACAAGCTTATGGACCTTTTTATTGCAAAGATAACCTTCACACTGTGAATCAATTGCTAGGCTTGTAAGTTTGATATTTAATAGGAAAAAAACCCCACATATTTGCAATTATTTTGTTATACTTTATTTTAATAGTTTCTCCAGTAGGAAAAAACGAAGTTCTTAACTTATTGATTGCAATGAGTTCCCCTTGTTACCTCCTAGAATAATGGAGCTACTTGTGAGAGAGCACGAATTGGTTTCTCGTAATAAATATTCTGATCTGCTCTGTTACCAGTTCTGTCCTACAAAAATCTTCACGCAGACAAAGCAGCTTTAGGTTCTGACACTTTACCCACTAAGTTAAGTATTACTTCTTGGGTTTAACTGATACAATAGAAATGCCAGAGAGACATGAGGCTTCTGCTTGCACAAGAACTCCTACTGCAATGACTAAACCAGTATTAGCCTTCCCAAGACTTCGCTCCTGCGGAAACCCAGGGTGAAAGAGCTGCTAGTCTTAAAAGCAGACACTTTCAGGGAGGCATTCCTCACTGACACTAACAGTAGCACAGGACTTGAAATCCGTCTTTCAAGATCCAAGTTTTCAAACCTTCTCCTTTTCTTGTTTTTTCATTACCCACTCAAGTCACACTTGCCACTCAGCATCCCCCTTCTTTATCCCTTTCATCTCGCACATTACACAGCCTCAGTTTGATTACGCAGACCCTACGCAATACGGAGGGGAAAGGAGATTCCAGGGTGGCATCTCCATCCCTGGAGGTTTCCAAGAGTCACCTGAAACCTTGACTGACCTGATCTAGCGTTGGGGACACTGCCACTTCAAGTGGGAGCTTGGAGTAGACGACCTTCAGAGGTCCCTAACATCCAACATTCCTATGAGCCTATGCAAACAGAAACAAAGAGAGGGTTTGAGACACGAAAGTGGAGACATAAGCCTCACAGCCACGGGTGTTCTGCTAAGCATGGCCTTCAAATCTAATCTTCCACTATTTTTGTCTAACACTTCAGTCTCTCTCTAAAATTTATTTTAGCAGAGTTTAATCAAACACCAAGCACCTCTTTGCTGTTTTCACACTGGATACAGTGAACTCATCTAGACTGATAAGCCTTCTTATGGGAGTGTCAGAGCTGAAATGACACGACAATTCAGAACAATTAACATCAGGTATTTAAACATTAAACTGCTATTTTAAACTATCAATAAAGTTCAACACTGCCATGGAAAAATGCAGGATGGAAATCCCCTGGAAATCAGAGTAGAGACATATGGATTCATTGCTGATTAGCAATTAGCCAATTCCTCTATTTAATGAGTGCTTTAACAATACATTCACACAGCTTCTTTCATCAACAAATTATCAGGTTTGTTTGAATGGTGATGTTTTCCATAAAACCTTGTCAATTGCCACTTATCACACCTTTAGCTTTTAATTTGTGAACGGATAAATATTTTATGAATTACTCCATTACAATAATGGATGTTAGGTTAACCGCCATATAATTTAACAGGGCTTGGCTGTTATAAATGTTGGTACAGATCAACGCTTTTCTTGTTTTACAACTATTAAAACTTAACATTACCAGATCAGGGAAACACTTATTTAACCCCCTAGACTTGGAGAAGAACTCCAGCCTTAGCAGCCTGAGGAGTTATTATCTTCATAACGTTTTATTTAAATTAATTACACTTGAAACACACAGGCAGAGCAAATACAGCAACAAGCACTGCACATCATGGCTTTGCTGCCTTTTTGGAAAAGGTTATTTAGGTGACATTAAACAGAAAAGCAAGGGGGATAAGGGACATGCAGCAAGAACGAGCTGACAGGCATGAAGTCAAGAGATGACCAGAAACAGGAGGAGGAATATGAGGAAGGCACCAACCAGCACAGGGCAGAGAACATTTGGCAGAACTGCAGAGTTCCCTGAACAGCACCCCAATCTTTGTCTGCACTTAAGAGGCTGCTCAGGACAGCGGTTTTTGCTAACGTCTTTCTACATGGATCTCCAAAGCCATATGGCAAGGTAGAACAGGGTTTCTCATGCTTGCAGAACAAATGTGGTGTTGCCTTCATACTTCTGAGGCTTACCAGACACTGGATGCCTGGCTCTGACTTAGCTCACTTGAAAACAAACAAAAAAGCACCTTCTACCCAAATCAACATTTCTTCACATACCTCTCCTTTAATCACTGAGGACTGACTGGTTCCTGGTTTTAGTCTCTCCTCCTTTCTGCAACATTCATCCCTTTAGTTTTAACTATTATTAACATTTTATACGCAGAATTTCTGAAGTGATTTCCCTTCATCCCTTCATGTTTGTTATGTAACATGACTAAACAACCCAGAATAATGTGAACATGTACATTTATTTTGCTACACACTGGACTGGGCCTTCCCCTCTAAATTCATTCTCGTTTTTTGGTTGTTGTGGGGTTCTTCTGTTTTTTGGTGGGTTTTTTTTGGGGGGTGATGGTCGTAGGGTTTGGTGGTGGTGGTGGTTTTTTAATTAATAAAAGCAACCTCACTTCCCATCACCTTCTCCCTGCTCTCAAGAACTGCTGCTCATTTTCCCCTCCTTCAGCTTCAGCTTTTGGGAAGTAAGTTAGTCCTAGTGAAATCCTTCTGAAACATCAAATGTATCTATTTGCAGTTAGGATGGTATTTGTTCATGCTGATGTTAAACCCATCATGATTATGAGGTCACTTAGTCTATTAAGAACTTCCAATCTTGTCATTCATGTCTATATCGTCAGCGTATCCCAGGCGCCAAAGATCCAAAAACATCAAGGTACAAGAGATAACACCCTTCACATCGGAACTGGCTGCATAAGACCTCCCAAACAAAATCCTCAAAAATACCTTCAGACATATGCTTATGAGGATACTGAGCACATCACACTTGCTCCAATCGTTTCTAACAGACCTGCATTGAATCCAATCCCCACACTTCACTGTTAGTATGATGATCCTCACTTACTTCATATACCGTGGTTCAAAGTTATCGAAGACTCTACAAGCACGTAGCTACTCATTTTGTACTCACTGACATATAAACCACTGAATTTGGTGTCCAAGAGCGAGGGGGGTGGAAGCAACTTCCATTTATAAACAACACAGGGATTTTTTTTTCTTTAGCACTTTCCCTTGTCATGTTACCTTATGCTAGCACCCAAATCAGGGATGTTACCTCCATTACTTGACAGATACAACATTGCCCCATTTGCCTAGCCCTCTTTAGTATCGCCCTAGGACCAGTATCACTAAAACAACCGTTGCAGTTTCCTGCTAGTCAGTTATGCGCTCCCTCCAGCTACTCGGGTCTCCTGCTTTCCAGAACCGGCCACCAGACAAGAATAATGTCAAAAAAAATCCCACAAAACCAACCATTTGGATTTTATTCTTCCTCATTTCACTTCTAAGATATTGAAGTCTTCTCTTTCTCACTGTAGTTCTCTCAATATTATTACTCGCACAGACTTGGCAGAGGACTTTATAATCCCAACCTGTCTTGCAGTTAGTCTTGCATTTAATCCAGGGTCATACCACAGGCCCCATTCCTCTATCCCTAGCAGCTTCCATTGTCTACTGTTCTACAATCTTCTGTTTTTTCCTTCCATCTTCACAATTAACGAGACCTCTTTCTTACTTTACACAGAAGACTTACATATTCGAATAAAATCAACCCCTCATGTTCTATGCAAATTTAAACTTCATGCGCTTTTCCATTTTCTTCCCCCCAAACCCTGAAGCACCCTCCTCCTCCTTTCAGTCAGTGAGTTGTTTTCTACTCTAGGTAGTTTTCAAAGTTGTGGTGACCACTATTTGCATGGTGGCTTTTGATACCTCCATTCATCAGCAGACACCAGTTTGTGGGATTACGGTCTGATAGCGCAACTAATATAAAAAATTCCAAGCGCCTAACTGACTCTGGATCATAACACA